GCTCGTTAACTTGATCTTCAAACTTAAAAAATCCTTAAGCTTAAAATCCTGTAGTGTGAACTAGGCATGAAATGAGTTCTGACTGAAACATACATCGGCGATGAACTACAGCCAATGAGAGAGCAAGATGCAGGGCAGCGGGAAGTTCGGGGAGGACTTTTTTGTGTTAGATTTGTGTATATAAAATTTTCCCAGCAGAAGTAGGCTATGTTACGAAGTCATCTTTGTTATTGTTTGTTCGGGGTGGACTTATTATAGACCACAATATCAGCGAGATTTCAGCCTTATTTCCTTATCACTTCTGGCGTGCGTTTGGTTATGAAACGTAGCACTTTCAAGTACTTAGATTTGTGTATTTAAAATTTTCCCAGCAGAAGGAGGCTATGTTACGAAGTCATCTTTGTTATTGTTTGTTCGGGGAGGACTTATTATAGACCACAATATCAGCGAGATCTTGCCTTATTTCCTTATCACTTCTCACGTGCGTTTGGTTATGAAACGTAGTTTGCGGACCAGACAGAGTTGTCGGTGATTCTTCCTATTGTAAAGTCATGCAGTGTGTAACCTCCTGTCGCCGATCTATCGTGCAATGTGAACACAGCAGCAACTGAATGCTACCCCAGATAGTCGTGCAGTGTGAAAACAACGATGATCAGATGATTTTGAAAATCATGCAGTGTGAACTCGGCATTAGGCTTTATTTTCGCGGCAGATGATTACAGCATTTCACTAAATTTGTAGTGAGACGCGTTTTTGTAAGTATGCTTTCACTGAAGCTGGAGTTTTCCTTCAAAATAAAAGGTCTACTGCCGTTTCCGTCAAAAAAAAACAACTTAAAAGTGCAGAGTGAATTGCTGACAGCTAGCGGTTTAAGTAGAGTCCAAATTCAAAATATCTCTTTCAAGTGTAGAAATTAGGAAAGAAGTATTGTAATTTCTCTACTGTAGTGTAAAGCAAAAATAATATACCTATGAAATATTCATTTTCATTTATTTTTGTTTTGATTGGCTTCCTAAAACACCACTGTGAATGTAATTTAGACTGAGACAGTATATCACAAATAAAAAGAGGGTTGAGTCCCCTTTAAATTTCAGGTACAAGTCAATTCACTGACTTTTGGGTTGGAGCTTTTAATTTTGAACTCTGAAAGTGCATTAGATAGAATAATTTAACTTTAAAATGTACAAAAATTTCATTTTTTTTCCCAATTCTTCATTTGTCTTTTTAAAAAATATCGCAATAAATATTGTATCGTGGACTTCATATCGCAATATTGTCATATCGTGAGATTTTGATATCGTTACATCCCTAGTAGTACATAATCCAAAAGACTCTGGTTTTTAAAGTTCTCATGTCTTTTTGACAGAGTGCATATTTGACGTGGTGGCAGATATCGCTTTTATTGTTGATCAGTCCAGCAATATCAGATCCAAAAACTTCCAACTTCTAAGCTACTTTCTCAAGAACACCATCAGAGGTCTCGATGTAGGTGAGGGAAAGATTAAAATAGCTGTGGTCCTCTATAGTGACTTCCCTCGAGCAGATGTTTTCTTTAACACCTTCAATGATATGACTGACATCCTGCGCTACATCAGCAGCATACCACATGATCGTGGTAAAACATACACTGGAGCTGCTCTCAAGTTTGCCAAAGAGCATGTGTTCACCAAAGCAAGAGGCAGCAGAAGAGATCAGCATGTTCAGCAGGTTGCTGTTGTTATCACTGATGGAAAGTCAACAGATAATGTGGCCAGTGCTGCAGCAGCATTGCGGCGATCTGGCATCACTGTATTTGCGCTTGGTATCAAAGACACCGACGAGGATGACTTGAGAGAGATTGCATCCTATCCACATAAGAAGTTTGTATTCAGTGTTGAAGGCTTTGATAAACTAAATTCACTTTCAAATATTTTAACCAAAACACTTTGCAATGAAATCACAGATTCCATCATACCTGCAGCCTTACAGAGCTTTGTGTTACAAGGTTGGTAAGATGTTTTTACTCATTTTCTTTTAAATGACTGGCCCTAAAAGCACATTGAAGATAAAAAAAATCTAATTTCATCTCTAAATCTTCTTTCACTCCACTGCAGATTGCAAGAAAACAATAAAAGCTGACATATATTTTCTTCTGGATGAATCAGAAAGCATATCCTATAAAGAATTTGATGATATGAAGAACTTTATTAAGAAATTGCTTGAAGCATTCGAGGTTGGAAATAACCATGTGCGCTTTGGGTTGGTGAAGTTTGCAAGTCGTGCAACCACAGTTTTCCGATTACATGACTATAACACAAATGCTGATATCAGAAAGGCAGTGAATGTCCTCAAAATTGAGGGAGGGGGCACCAGGACTGATCTGGGATTGAGAGAAATGATCCCACTATTTGAAGAAGCAGTACGAACACGTGGGGAAAAGGTTCATAAGCTCCTGATTGTCATCACAGATGGCGAGTCAAGAGGGACAGAAGAGTACTATAACACAAATGCTGATATCAGAAAGGCAGTGAATGTCCTCAAAATTGAGGGAGGGGGCACCAGGACTGATCTGGGATTGAGAGAAATGATCCCACTATTTGAAGAAGCAGTACGAACACGTGAGGAAAAGGTTCATAAGCTCCTGATTGTCATCACAGATGGCGAGTCAAGGGGGACAGAAGAGTCGGTAGAAGTCCCTGCTAAACTTCTGAGAACAGAACAGAATGTCAGTATTTATGCTATTGGTGTGAAATATGCATCTGTGCCAGAGCTGGAATTAATATCTGGCAGCCCACAAAGAATATTTTATGTGAAAAACTATGATTTCCTTGATGAAATCAAGAAAGACATTATTACAGAAATATGTACCTTTGAAGGTGAGATATTCAGCTAATTTGCATATGTTTATACTGTATGTTTTCGCTGTTACCTGATTTGCACATTTTTTTTTTAATTGAATGGGTGATGAAATAATACAGTGCATGCAGATAAATGACTGTCGGTATCTAGTTGATTCTTCTTGATTTTTTTTCCCCGTTGGCCTAAATATAATTTGTTTCAAGGTTCCTTTCACAGAAGGAGTGTTCACTTTATGAATTTCTTATTTTTAGATTGTGAAGGTCTTTTTGCAGATGTTGTCTTCCTGCTTGATGGATCAGAAAGTGTTAGTGCTAAGGACTTAGAAAATATGAAGGACATAATGGAGCTTGTGATAGATAAATTTGCAATTGGACCGGACAAGGAGCGTGTTGCGGTTGTTCAGTATGGCACAGACCCAAATGAGGAGCTTTCCTTAAATAAATGTGACGTTAAAGCTGTATTATTACAGAAAATCAGAAATATCAAACAGATGAATGGAAAAACGTATACTGGAAAAGCACTTACAGAAGTATTACAGTCTTTTGACATTTCTAAAGGAGGACGATCCAATGCTCTGAAGTTCTTGATAATTCTTACGGATGGAGAGAGTAGGGATGATGTAGCCGAGCCTGCTAAAGTCTTGAGAGACAATTCCATCAACATTAATGCCATTGGTATGAGACATGCAAACAGATCTCAGATTCTTGCCATTGCTGGATCCCATGATGGAGTGTTCTTTGAAGATGCCGTTGCATCCCTAAAAGAATTGAGCAATGACGTCCTTCTCAAGATCTGCAACACGGGTATGTAAACCAAATCTGAGATTTTTAGGAGAGATCACATCATGTCAGTTGATGTTAAATCCCTTGAAAAAAATGTTTTGTGGCTTTTAGTCAATGTCTGTTACCTTTGAGGGCATCTACATGCTAGTGTACTCCTTAAAGTGCACACATTTATAACTCTCTTTCTCCATGAAAATGCACACAAAGTATTGATGGCCTATAAAATTAGAAATTAAATTGAAAAGTATATTTAGCTGTAAAATTAACTAATATTACCAACAATAACATATATAAAAGGTTAACATTAGCGCTGTTAATCGATTAAAAAAGTAACTAATTAATTGCACATTCACGGTAATCACGATTAATCACATTCATATATTTATATTATCATAATTTCACATTGAACCTCCAAATCAATGTAGAAACAACATAAAGATAGTATATTTTAAATATGGTTTAATGACATCTTTTTACTAAGTGGCCTACTATTAATGAAGGCCATTATCATTGATACCAGTAGTGTTACTTGATATCTCTATTAAATGCATTTTCCCTCAATTTTAGCCATTAATTATAGCCATTCAACATTACTGTATAATTGAAAGCCATTATTTTTTAACATTTAATAGGCTCTGAAAAATATGACAACTTTTTTTTAAAAATGTAAACTTTTAGTTTAGCTGATCTTAAAACAATCTTCACATAAACTATAAATTGTATATGTATAAACTATAAAATGAATATGAATGAATCTTTAGAAAGTTAATTAGCGACTAGTGCAGTAGAGTGATTTATCTTTTTCTTTTGTTCTTTGATTTCCATCAATGACAGACTTCATCAGGTTTCACTTTAAAAGCAGCTCTGTCTCTTTAAAACCTGATGCACATGACGTGGATCTGACATGCATTTGGTTTTCTCCCAACTCTTTATGGCCAATTAGGACTTTATAACTCATTTAAGACCGCGTTTACGAGGTCACTCGCCAAAAGCCAGCATTTTGACATAATTGACCGTTCGCAGGGAGCTTGATTGACAGGCGATCTGACCAATCAGAACGTGAATATTATCTGCCGCTGTTGCTATCTGCCATCTTGCCCGACAACTACGGCCGGACACCGATCTCCATAGAAATCCATGTTAAAACGGGGTAAAAAAGATCGACCGAATTGAAACTTTTTCAACTAAATCTAAATGACATCAGTAATCAGCACACACGACCCAGTATAGTATAGTTAAGTGGCATGGAAATGATCCGTATGGACGCCTAATCAGTATTATACCATATCTTGTTTTTTCTATTGTTTAATTAATAAAAATAATCTGAGCACATCAACTATAATTTGTACGATTAAATAAGATTAAATCTGTCCATTACGGTGTACCCGGATTTTACATTTCTTCAGCACCAAATGACTTCAACACAATGTATGGCTTATAAAATATGACATTTATTCACAGATATTAAAAAAAGAATGAAAAATTACTTGACTTAAAGTAGGATATCAGTACATTCATTTCTTACCACTGAAGTGAACAGTTTGTACAGCGGGACTTTTGATCCGTAAACAAAAACTTCTCGCTTAACATCATGTTCTCTTCAGTTAGGCATGTCAAATCTCTCCGAAATCATATTTACTCTCATAACTATATTAATTTTAAGTAATCATTCAATAAATAGATCGATAAACGAGTGAGTCAGTCAGCCAGTAAAATGAAATTACCGTTAATTTTTACATTTCGCGAGCGCGTGCTGGATAGGGATGGGCGATACCACTTATTTTGTTTGGGATACGATACCGATACTTTTCAAGACCAGTATTGTCGATATTGATACCGATACAATACTTCTAAACTGAACTTTTAAATTATGGAATTTATTAAATTATTAAATTACTAAGAGTAAAATGGATAATGATAACCACTTAACTTTATATTTGAAACACATTTTAACATTCAAAACCCCTTAATTGTAACTTATTAGGTTATATAGCATGCATAAAACAACTCCAATCCTATTGGTCCACATGGCCCGTGATGTCATAGGCGGGTACCCGAAAGTATAAAAGGGGCATCTGCTGATACGTCACCAACTCAGTTGTCTGAGGAGACGTAAACAGGCAGGCCAAAGGCATGGCAAAGGGACGCAGCATCTCATTCCCTCTCGGGGAACCAGGTTTACATAAGTAACCCGAGACAACAGCTATCCTCAAATAGCATTTCCCTCAGATAAGGCTGAAGTTCGTCCAGGCCATGAAGTGGACCATCTACCTAAAACCCGAACAGGGGAGACAGCGCAGTCTAGGCAAGGGCTCAAGGAGACCACTACTTAAAGACCCCACAAGGGGGAGCAGTCTCCAAGCTGGAACACAGCTATCCTCAGACAGCAGATTCCAAACAAGGCTTCAGCGCTTACCTGAGAGAGTTTGTGCCCAAGGGGAACTAAACCCAGTTATAAACGACTGGGTCTCAGACTGCTATATTCCAAAGCAAAGCAGCCTGAACTGGAGCATAATTATCCGCAGATGGCTACACTCTGAGCAGAGACTGTTCACTTATCACCCGGCTAAACACAGGAAGGAACATTCCCCGTAACCACTCTAGACTACTGAAGCACCCTGGGAGAGAAAGCTAACAGCTTCATTCCACAGAGCATTCAGTATAACCATGCCCAGCGAGGCTCTCCACACACAATAACATACATATTAGAGAGGCACGTCTGAGCTGAATATAGCTCCGCCCGCGATCTTGCACGCCCTGAGCTAAAATGACTCGGTGCTCACACTTTATCGTTATAGCAACACGAGCAATATCCACGGCTTTAGGCAACCCGATAGTCGAGGGTATGCGGACATTGCAGATCAAAGCAATCGCTGCGAGCTGAGATAAACAGAGCCGTGGCAACAGCCCGAGACGCGAACGCTTTGCCCTGCATCCCTTGGGAATAGGAACAAACGTGAGCCGAGTGCATTAAAGTGATTCATCACAAAGAGTGCGTGGTCGCCGAGACAAAGACGAAAAGGTTAAAATATGTCCTCAAGTGTTAGAATCCCAACACGGAGGCACATATTCCTCAAAGCGCTGCTCGACTCACCCGGATGCTGTTTCACACACGTTCAACAGACAGACGGCTCCGAAGACAACAAAAGTTGGTGACGTATTCAGCAGGTGCCCCTTTTATACTTTCGGGTACCCGCCTATGACGTCACGGGCCACGTGGACCAATAGGATTGGAGTTGTTTTATGCATGCTTCAGGTACCGGTCATGCAGACAGCGTTCCCCAAAGTGTCCACCAGGACGCAGCGTTGAGTTCCCTAGAAGGGGAACCACGGTAAGAAATAGTGAATTTTTTTTGGAAAAGTGTGTGAAAAATTGTATTTTATGGTCGGTCACAATTGTCACCGGTGGGATAATGTGTATACTGAATTAACATATTTCTGCAGTCTTAAATTTTTTTTATATATCTTAGCCCAGCTATTTTAAACTGTTTGATCACATTCTAGGGTTACTATTATGTATAAAAAACCCTTATACAACATTGATCAACGTATTTCAAAATTGTTACTTTTTTGTAACATATATCATCACATTTTTATATTAGTGCTACCAGTATTACAACATTAATATTCTAACTTATTTGTAACATTTGAACTTTTGATTTAGTGCAATATTTTGTACTTCCATTAGGGACTGCCAGTGAATGGCTGTTGCATGCATAAAATGCAACCTTTTTATTCTGACAGTGTATATGACATATTAACATTACAGAATAGAACATGATCAATATTATCTTTCAACGTTCAATTTAAATAAATGTAATTGCACAAACTATGTAGGCTACAATTTCAATTTGTTTATTGTGAAATAACTCAAACATATACGTTTTTTCTGTCCTCTGATGAGCATTGTTCTGGGCTGCCATTCCCAAAAGCAGCAGCTTTCTTATGATACTTTTGGGAAACGCAGCTCTGTTTGAATGCACTGTCAGAAGTGAGTAAACGCTGTCCGTGATTGATTGATTCTGTCTTGCAACATCTGCGTGTGTTCAGATGAGCAGGAAAATAGGCCTATCCTACACAATTATTCGCTAACATAAGTTATTCGTCCAATTCAATGCATATTGTACGCATTAATTTATTGTTAAATAAACAAAATCACTGGTAAATAAAACACACCTTAGTATCGATATTTTTGTTTGAGTATCGATACTTTCGATACTCGCGTCAGTAGCGATATATCGATACTTCAGGA